TTTCCCTCCCTCCCTCCCTCCCTCCTTCCCTCCTTCCCTCCTTCCCTCCCTCCTTCCCTCCCTTCCACTTTCTCTGAAAAGCAACAGAAAAAATATCCTCAGGTGAGGATTATAAAAAAACAAAACAGACAGGCTTGTTCAAGTTCACACAGCAAATACTAGGCAGGGTCAGAAACTGAACTGGGGCCATCTGGCCCTAGATCTTGTGCTTGTAATCTTCATTCGTCTTAGCAGCCTACGTGAAAACACTCGAGTGGGAAACAGGTCCAACTGGTGTCTAAAGGAATTTTTTTTGTTTTTACTCTAGTGAAAAGTCCTTGCTCCACTCATGGATAGCCGAGCTCAGACTGTTCTTTAGATTGCAGTATCAGGTCTGCTGCGCTTCTAGGCCCCAACACCACCTTTGATACTTACGCATTTAATCAAGGCTCCTAACAGCTTTGCCTTTCTGCATTTTAGAGAAGCTGCGGGACTGCGGCAGAAGGCAAGGTGCAAGGGTGAGCTGTCTTGTGCCCTCCCACCGATGCCCTTTAGTCCCCAGAGGTTGAACTCTCCACAGAAAACGGATCCTACCAGCTCTTTCTTCCCCATCAGGCAGGGCAGTAAGTGGAGAGGTGTTTAGAACAATTACCATTGTTTTCTTGTAAGGACAGGGGTAATTAGGTACTATTAATCTATCTTCTACCTGATCCAGTCCACCTAGTGGGAGCCCAGGTCCATTTTCCTTAGCTACTTAGCTGTAATCAGAGAGGGAGAAGGAGCCGCCCTTCGTCACCTGGGCTTCAGCTTTCAAAACCTCTCCCATGGTGATTGTGTGTTTACCTACAGCTCTAAGGAGGCAGGAAACAAGAGGAAAAATGAAAAGAAAGGAAATGCGCCCTAGTTTTATTCACCTCTTATCTAAAGGAGGCAGGGTACAGGACCCTCTTTCTCTAGGGGTCCCTGGTAGCTCTCTGGAAGGCACCTATCTCAGGAATCTCAAATGTCTTCATAATTTCCTTTTAGAATTTAGAAGCTGATACAACAGAAATCTTCAGCGTCGACTGGCTCCCTGCTTCTTGCTCAGGCATTCACAGGGGGTGAAGGGGCTATTGGGCCTCAGGCCTCTGCCCTGACTCCTACAGGTTGGTTTTGGGTTAGTCCAGACCCAGGGGGAAGGTTCCAGTCTACAGAGGTTCTGGCCAGGGCTTCTCTAGAACTGCACTGTGAAGTACGGTAGCCACTGGCCACATGTGGCTATTAGAATTAATTATAATTGAATAAAAAATTCAGTTTCTCAGTTGCACTAGTCACATTTCAGTAGCTCGGTGGTCACGTGGAGGCTACTGGAGACCTCATTGGACAGTGTGGATACAGAACACTTTCATCACTGCAGAAAGTTCCATTGATAATAAAAGTTCTAGAGAGCAGTTGGATGGTGCTGGTGTGACACCTAGGAGAAGTTAACTTCCTTCTAAGCCCAAACCTAGAAGTTCCCTCCTTGTCCAAAACTGAGATCTGTGAATGCCCCATGAAGAGCCCAGAATCTGAAAGTTGGGAGAGACTTCAGAGTCTCTAATTTCCAGAGTTCATCTCTAAGTTTTCACTGCTGTCAGAATCCTCACAGGATTCCAGGTGGACATCCTGCCTCTTCACACACTCCAGCTGGTGGGACATTCCCTTCCTCAGGAGACAGTCCATTCTATGGTTGGTTCCTCGGGTCACAGGAGGGTTCTCAGGCTAACACTGACTCCCTGGTCATTTCAACCCACTGGTTTCATTTTGCACGTTGGAACAACATGAACTCCTTGTTTTAACTGTCTCCAATCATCTGAAAACCATTAGCTTCCTCTTCTTTGTTCTACATCAGTGGCTCCTACACCTTACTGGATATTACAGTCACTTTGGAATTAAAAAAAGAAAAAAAGAGATTCTGAGTCCCAAATCCAAGGTTCTTATCCATTAGATATGGGCTTTAAAAAACTTCCCAGATGATTCTGAGGATTGGCTAGGTTTTTGGAACCACTAGGCCTCAGTGCTTCTCAAGACTTTAGTGTTGTTGTTTTTTTAAATTGTGGTAAAACATACGATTATCATTTTAACCATTTTTAATGTACAATTCAGTGGCATTTAGTGTGTTCACAATGTTGTCCAACTATCACCAGTATCTAGTTCTAGAACATTTTCATCACCCACACACAGACTTCAGTGGTTGTTTTTTTAAAAATTGATTTCAGAGAGAGGAAGGGAGAGATAGAGATAGAGATAGAGAGAGAGAGAGAGAGAGAGAGAAACATCAATGATGAGAGAGAGTCATTGATCGGCTGCCTCCTGCACACCTCCTGCTGAGGATCGAGCCTGCAACCCAGGCATGTGCCCTGACCAGGAATCAAACCTCGATCTCCTGGATCATAGGTCAGTGCTCAACTGCTGAGCCATGCTGGCCAGGCAAGACTTTAGTATGTTTAAGAACACTTAAAGGGCTTGTTAAAATGCAGCTCCCTGGGCCCCGTTCCAGAAAGTCAAATTCAGTCGGTCTCAGTGGGCCTGAGAAATTGCATTTTCTGCAAGCTTTCGGGTATGGAGGATGGTGCTGCTGGTTCAGGGGTCCCACTCGGAGGAGCACATTTCCTAGATTCTCTCACGTTCTCCTACACATTCTTTTGTGTTGTTACTATTTTAAAATTCAGCATTTAAGAGTGTGCGCAATATTCCAGGTGGGGTCTGTGGGAACCCAGTGTGGAATGATAGCTGACAACCATGCTTCTGCTAACTCAGCCTAAGGTCCAACATGAGAAGAATTCTGCACCCCTCACACTCTGTGACCCGAGGTAACAGGTGAGAGAAAGTTCTGAATATTCTTTAAGAAATGAAAGGACAGCACAAGGTCATGTGAAACCATCATAGCTCAGGGAAAAGGCACTTTGGGGTTTCCATTTTGAATATAGTGAATCCCAGACCCTGAGTTCTGGGTAGAACACTAACATCCCTAGCATCTCATATTTGAACAGTGATTTGGAGATTTTACTCCTCCCTGACATCGATATTTAAAATGATTTCTTCTCATGACAACCCTCATGTACATATCTGGTAAAAATATTTTTACTATCTATGTAATTGAAATGAATTAGTTCTCTTGACAATCTTCACTATAGGACTGGTATTTTCCCTAATTTTAGTGATTTGCCTGGAGTCAAACAGCCAGCGGGTATTAGAGCCACGACCCAGAATCAGAGCTCGGCACTCCCCAGGCAGCTGGCAGAAGCAGGCCTGGGGGAGAAGGCTCGGTGACACCACTCTGGGTTGCGATTCTGAAATTCAGCTGGGTGGGCTGGGTCAGGGACCTGCTTTAAAGAAAGAGTGGACAAAATCAGCTCCTTCCTAATTTTTTTCTCTTAGCAACTGCACTTGCTCTTATTTGTGTCTCACATACTGTTTCCCAGCTACCCAGCAGGACGCATCTTTTCTTGAGGAGTGCCAGACGCAGCGGGACCTTGCGTCCCGGAGAGACTCTGCTTGAGCTGAACCACAGAGAAAGGCCTGGTTCAGATGTACTGACTTGGCTGATTTATAAAGGAACATAAACCAGACATGAGCCCCTTATGCCCAAGTGGGTGAAAGAGTTGTCTGATTCTCCAGCCGACAGGAGAAGGCAATGGCATACTTTGCCCTGGGGTTAAAATGATATTCAGTTACAGTTTGGGTCTAGGCATAGATTTATAATATCGTGTGCATACCTGGAACAGGCACTCCATAAACATTCACCTCTTGGATAAAATCAACTAGTCCTAGTACGTCAGAGACTTCAGTGGTAGCCACATTTTCCCCTTTCCACCTGGAAGAAAAGGCAAGGTTAGCAGAGGTCACAGGTGGTCTCTCGCCCAGGACGCAATAACAGGGAGCAGGTGGGGTGGCTGCACTCTATAGCTCACCTTGGCCCCCAAGCTCCCCAGCTTCGTCATGGGAGAGGCATCCTGCTTGAGGACAAAAGACATAGGCATACACCTAAATAATAAAATGTGGAATTTCAGTCTGGCCACGTGAAACGCAACACACAGAATGATGTTGTTCCAACGTTAAAATACAGACTTGGCCTAAGAAAGGCACTGGAAATCAAAAACAAACCCTCAGTGACTTTGCTGTATTTAGGTCTCTCCCTTTTCTCATTCACTAACTTTGGTTGCTATTTAAGTCAATTAGTGAACTTCTGTCTAATAAAATTTCATACTTGTATTTCAGAATCTCATGGCATCAAGAAAGCTTTTAATAAGAAAAAATATACTTTATTTTCAGGGAAACTATAATGCTAGTGCCCAACTGTGTGCTATTTTTCACTGTATAAAGTTATTTATGTTTTACATTTAAAAAATTCTTTAGGTTTCTCAGAAGTATCTTTTCAGCGACATGAAGGTGGCATAAAATAATGACAGGGATCCTGAGTCATGGCACATTGCGGATGGAAGGAGCCCTGAGGGTCATCGGGACCCTCATTTCATGGGTGGAGAAACTGAGGTTGAGAAAGGTTACCTGCCTAGCTAACACGGATGGTCAGGGGCAGAGGTGAGCCTGGGAGCTCCGTACTCCCCGATAATATCCACACTCTTTCTACTACAGCCAGGCAACTCCCATCCCTTCCTTAGAAATTCATGCAAAAAGTAATTACGTGTGTCAGGCACTGTGCCGGGAGTTGGAGCCTGGCTTCAGGCAGTTCACAAAGGAAGGAAGCTGATTAAACAAAAGTGTTAGGAGGCTGGAGGATTGTGATGTTGTTGGGAATTAAATTCATGGTCTATTACCATGACTTTCAAACTGTTGCATTGACTTGGGGGTTCTGTGGGAAACCACTTGGTTGGGGATGGAGAGTAGGAGGGAGGGGAGCAGGTGAGGCCTCAAACCCCTCATCTCCTCTTCAACTAAATCAGCCCCACCTTAATTTGCATTTGATTTTATCTGGGGAAAAAAAAAAAAAAAAGCCCCATAATTGAAAACTGTGAAAATACCTGGCGGTCCTAAGAGTGACCAGTAGAAACGGAGGAATTGGACGGACTAAAGCTATTTAGACATAGGTTTTCCACCTTCCTTTCATCTGGTGTGCCTCACCCAAGTTAACTGTGCATTATAGAGTGACCCCTCATGTATTTTGCTCCTTTTTTTCCTAGGAATACAGGAGGCTGAATTGACACACTAAAGACATAGAAGAAAAGGGAGGACCATAACCAAAGCGGAATGTGACTCCAATTTAGGAGTAAGCCAAACTGTGTGTTTCTCAGTAATTCAGAAAACCCACCGGAATGTATCTCCAACTCTGTCGTGGAAGTACATGAAACCTTCCTGGTCAATCATTAAGAGATCTCCACTGTTGAAATAGACATCTCCTTTCTTAAAGACGTCTCTCAGTTTTTTCTTCTCTGTCTGAGCCTTTCCTCCAGCATAGCCAGAAAATGGTGTAAGTTGTGTGATTTTGCAAACCAGGAGTCCAACTTCACCTAAGACAGAAGGAAGTACATTGTTATTTTATGTGCTAGCAGTAGGGAAATTTTATTATTAACTTTCTCTTAAAACTGATGCCATGCAGCTCATTAGCAGCAAGCTGGCTGCACATGTACAAGTATATTCATATACATCACACACACACATATATACACTATGCACACAGTACATTATTCTATATGGCCACACATTTTAATTTTTAAAATGCTAACGTTTTACTGAATAATGATTGACACACATAGTTAAACAAATGAACAGTAGTTTAAGCTTAAAGGTAAAGACTCCCTAAAATCATAGTTTAATTATGATTAAATCATACATAATTATGTATCCCTTCCCACAAAATGCTTGCTTCACAATCAAGAAGTTGTTAAGCTAGGTTTCAAACTATAAGTATGTTACCGGTAGTGGTTAAATTAGTATCTTTTGGAGTTTCTGTATTTTTGAGAGTACAAAAATAAATCTCTTTTTTCCTCCACTCCGATCAATTATACCAGGTGTTCATTTTATCAATGATATGTTAATTCTTAACAATCACTTGGTCAAGGTAATAAAATGACAGGTTAGGCCCTGGCCAGATAGCTCAGTTGGTTAGAGCATAGTCCCTATACACCAAAGTTACAGGTTTGATCCCTGGTCAGGGTACATACAAGAATCAACCAATGAACACATAAATAAGTGGAATAACAAATTGATGCCTCTGTCTCTCTCTCTTTCAAAATCAATACATAAAAATAAAATGACAGGTTAACTGAACAAAAATCCACTGTACCTTTGGGAACTTTGATGCAATATCCATTTCCATCTCGGACAGGTTCACCTTTCTCCACATCATATTTAATCAACTCGTAAGATACAACTTTCTAGCAAAATTAAAACAGATCATTTTGAGCACAAATTTTCACATTTCCCCCCCTTTTTATTGTGGTATAGCATGCATAAAGTATATAAGGAACACCTATCTGAAGTGTACAGCTTAGTGAATTTTATATATGTTGTTCACCCATGTACCTACCAGCCAGATCAAGATACTAAGCATTTTCATTACCTTAGAAAGTTTCCACCTGCCCCTTTCTGTCAAGTTGACTACTATTCTGACTGTTATCACATCAAGCAGACTTCAACTCCCAATAAATGAAGTAAATGTCTGCCTTTGTGTCTGGTTCTTTCACTCAGCATACTGCGTGTGACAGTCATCCACCCACGCTGGTGTTTGTTTCAGTAGTTTGTTTCATTGCCGTGTAATTTTCCTTCTATGAATATACAACAATTTATTTATCTATTCTCCTATTAATGGGCATTTTGATTATTTCCAGTTGTGGACTGTTAAAAATAGAGCTGCTATTAATATTCTCATACATTTTTTTTGGTGGACATATCACAAGCGGGATTTAAAAATCTTGTGTGACCTTAATATGCCACTGTTGTATGTTTTTCATTTCCAGGGACATGTTCTCCAATGCATTTAAGGTTCGATGGTATAGTTACTTCATGCCCATGGCTATAAAATTATTAAAACTCCATCATATTTCATATAGGCTATAATTCAATGGCATAAAAATGTAAATTTATATAATTTAGTAAGGGCAATAACTGTATTATTTTCTCTATTAACAGATAGGTACAAATATGACAGTCTTTAGATGTAATTAGCAGTTGTGATTACTGTGTCAATTTTAAATTTAAATTCAAGTCTATGTGATAAATTAACCAATTCTATGCTTTGATAGTAGCGGATAACCATTAAAAATGAAGTAGCATTCTTAGTCAACAAATGTAGATCTTTATTTGCAAGAATGTAAAAAAAGAATTGGGGTGGTAACTCATGCTTCTTTCCACATCAATTACAGGGTCATCCCCCCTCCCCCCCTTTTAGTTTTAAAATATAGATTTGTTTAAATCAGGAAAAAACTGACAATAAAACATGGCAATGAATGGATGTGATACCCAGAACTTCTAAGGTCCTCAGGTTTGCTTTGAAACAAAAGTTTCCTTGCAACTCGTAACAACACAGACAGCTTGCACCCACAGTGCCTCTACTCAGCATTGTGTCTTCTCTCGTTCTGAACTGCATTTAGCCTGGGTCTTCACAGTTTGGGCTCCTACAGCTTGGACTGAAACTAGCAAAGACAGACCCTCTCCCAGTGGGGAGTAGGAAATCAATTCTCAATCTCTAGTGGTGCTTGCTGCCCAGTAGAATTTACTGTGATAATGGAAATATTCTATATCTGTACTGCTCAACATGGTCATCACAGAACATGGCTACTGAGCACTTGGAATGTGGCTAGGGACAATGAAGATCTAAATTAAAATTTTCTTTATGTAATTTAAATTTAAATAAGGCACACCTGGCAGGTGGCTACCATATTGGACGGCACAGGTGTGGAGGGACCTGTACGGTGTAGGTTTGGCTGTCATTGTCAGGGAGTTTCCTTGGACTGGGGAATGCCTAGAGACCAGGCCAGAATAGAAGAAATGGAATGAAAATAATCATTGCAGCTAACAATTATTCAACTCTATTATCTGACAGGTATCCCGGCTATATCCTCTAATGGCTTTTTAATAAATTATTAAATTGAATCTTTTCAACAACCCTTTTCCTTTATCAACACTGAGTTTGGGTTTGGCATTGAGCTCTATATTTTCTCTTTTTAATCTCTGTTTTACGGGTGATGAAATTGAAGTCTAAGGAACATAAAGTGATTTGCCTTAGGGCATTCAGCCAGTATGTGAATGTGCTAGAATGTGATCTCTAGAGCCAACTTCTTATGCACACAGATCACTGTCCCATTTACTGCTCCTGTCAGTCCCTGGGGACACAGGGTGCTTGGGAGCTCTGGGGCGGCTGTGTCATGACCAGGCAGGATGGGTTACCAGAGGCATAAAGGTGGCATTAACTGCTCAAGACAGCAGAGGCTCAGCGTTTGCTGAATATTCCTGAAATTTTGAAGAATAGGTGATCATCCAGAAGACTGACTGCTTGAGCACAAAAAGGGCAAAGAGATTGTCTGGAGATCCCAGGCAATAAAAGAGACTGCTATGTGAGCTGGCTTAAAAATAGGAAATATCAATCATATATCTGATAAGAGGTTAATATAAAAAAATACATAAAAAACTCATACAGCTCAATAGAAGAGAAGCAATCCAATAATAAAAAAAAGACAAATGATCTAAACAGACTTTCCCAAACAAGACATACAGATGGCCAAAAGGTACACAAAGAGATGTTCAGCATCGCTAATTATAAGGGAAATGCAAATGAGGTACCACTTCCCACCTGTACTATCAAAAAAGCAAGGAGTAACAAGTGCTGAAGAGAATGTGGAGAAAAGGGAACCCTTGTGCAGTGCTGGTCGGAATGCAGATTGGTGCAGCCACTGGGGAAAACAGCACAGAGGTCCCTCAAAAAATTGAGAATGGAACTACCATATCATCTAGCAATTCTACTTCTGGGTATTTATCCATAGGAAATGAAAACACTAATTAGAAGAGATGTATGCACCCCACGTTGATTACAGCTTTATTTACAATAGTGAAAACACGGAAACAACTTAAGTGTCCCTTGATGGATGAGTGGATAAAGAAAGTGTGGTATATATATATACAATGGAATATTAGTCACCCATAAACAGGAAATCTTGCCATTCATGACGAAATGGATGGACCTTGAGGGCATTAAGCTAAGTGAAATAGGTCAGATGGAGAAAGACAAATATCACATGATCTCACTTATATGGACTCTGAAAAAAGAAAAGAACTCATAGAGAACAGATTGATGGTTGCCAGAGGTGGGGAGTGAAGAGTGGTTGGAAGTGGTTAAAAGGTAGAAACTTCCAGTTGTAAAATAAATAAGTCCTGGGTATGTACTGTACAGCATGGGGACTATAGTTAATAACAGTGCATTGCATATTTGAAAGTTGCTAAGAGAGTAGATCTTAAAAGTTTTATCACAAGAAAAAAAAAAGTAACTATGTGAGGTGATGGATGTTAACTAGACCTACTGTGGTGATCATTTGGCAACATATACAAACATTGAGTCATTATGTTGTTCACCTGAAACTAATATATGTTATGTGTCAATTATATCTCAGTTAAAAAATAAGAAATGTCTTTTTAATGCAGTTATTAGGAGAACACAAATCTTCACAAGATAATGCTTTTTTGACCCTGGCTGCAGAGCTTTCAAAAAACACTGATGCCTGGGCCCCACCTCAAGACACCTCCATCCAAAGCTTAGGGGCTGAGGCCCTGCACCTGTATGTGTGAAAAGTTCCCCAGGTGGTTGTAACCCACAGCACTATGAAAAGGAAAGATCTCATTTCACCATAGCGCAGAGTATGGTAAACTTATGGAACTGGTAATGTCTGGTGTTTTATCATATACACGTATAAATGACATAGGAATATGTTACCTGAATGCAGGTGGCAAAGGCATAATGGGTTGTTATTCATGGACATTAAGATTTTTAAATTAGAGCACCCTATCTTATTGAAGTCCTTGTTACAGAGACTCGGCAAAACCTCTCTTGGTGATGCCTCATGAAGTTCTGATAATAACATCATCATGACATAGCTTTTAAGGAAGCTCTGTATTCTGAAAATGGTCTCACTTTTCAATGTACTTACTCTCTGTAAGTAGTTTATTCTTCCGACAGCACCAATTTTTCTCGTATAATTTACAAAGCTGATATTGCCTTCAGTGGAGGCATAGAACTCATAAATGTGAATGTCCCCAAATCTCCTGATGAATTCACTCCACACATCTCCTCGCAAGCCATTGCCCAGCGCTACTCTCACTTTGTGATCACGATCGTTCGGTTTCTGTTGGAAGAGACCAAATTGGAACATCTCTGGAGACTGTACTCACACATTAATAATGACCTTTATGTTTCCACATATTTATGTTGGTTATGAATTCACCTTAGTGCAAACCTTTTCTCTCACCCATGCACATAACTCCTCTTTTCCCTCAACACACACAGTATGGGCCAACAGGGAGCCCTCTGATTTAATAACCAAAAGACTTTGATTTTTCCCATTTTGATTTTTAAGAGGCAAGCTGAGACAATTTGACAGAATGAAGTGATGCCAACATTTAATCTATATCCAATCTGAAGCTAGAACAATGTATTCATTGTTTTCTTTCTTCTTTTTTTCTTTTTTTGTTGTTTATCCTCACAATCGTCACCCAAGAATATTTTTTCCAGAGTGG